TTCTGAAGTTTCTTTGAGCCACGTCATGGACAGTAGATGGTGAAATCCCTGAATTCCTTGCAATTGTGCGTTGAAAGACGTTCTTAAACTGTTGCTATTCGATCATGCAGTTTTTTGCAAAGTGGCGACTGAGCCTTCCATGACCACTTTTTACACTCCGTCATGATAGCATCACCTGTAACCTATTCACCTGTTTACCTGTGGAAAGTTCCAAAACATTTTTTTTTTAATCACAATTTTTTTGGAATGTGCAGGCATCACATTTGATTCAGCTTTGAAATTTGATTCAAATAATCATTGGGGAATCATTGAGGGCGGGGGGTGCACTGAATCATGTCTCTATAACAAGCAAAGCAGTGTGAGGTCAGTGATTTAGAGACCCAATAATGTTGTCTTCACTGGGTATTTTCACTGTTAGGCCTTATTTTTTAATAATTATTTAAGAAGTTCTGGGATAATTCATGATCTGCATCCAAAAAGACGACAGACACAGAATTAGAGGTACACTGAAGCTTTTATTTGTAAGGCACCATAAATACTTCCTTACTGCAGAATCTCATTCACAAAGAGTTAAATGTACTTAATTTTTTTTTATTATTTTCCCCACATTTTTTCTCTTTAAACAAAGCGGTAATATTGATTTTCATAACACAAATTACATACACTTTCTGCCAAGTATACACTCAAGAGGTTTACATACATCACAAAATGAGAGAGGTTGAAAAAGAACTGTTATAAAGCTTAAAAAGGAAAAAAAAGACATTCTAACAATCTCAATGGAGGGAAGGAGGGAGGGGATAGGATTTGGAGAGAGGAGGGTTATGGAGAATGACTGTACGGTAATGTACTTTACAGTAATGCCCGATTGAAAATCAACATCAACTGTACAAGTGATAGGAATGCAACTTATGACGCTGTACTTACATCAACTCATGGTGAGCCAACATTGCATCTGGCCACAACACAGCAATTTTAGGTTATTTTAAAGGAATATCCCAGCATATCTGAAAACCTAATCTGTATGTGCCACATCTGTGGAATAACCAAGTGCAGGTTTGCAAAATGTCTGAATATTCCTTTATCAATGATAAAGCACATTCAGATGTGCCATTTAAAGGAGTGAAAAGAACAACAAAAGAAAATCAGTGCCCAAAAAGATGGGCTGCTTCCCTTGATAGACTGCTAACCTAATAATGACTACCACAGCCAGCGGTAACGCACCTGTGTAAGTGAATAGGCCCTACCATAAAGCTGATATACAGCAGTCCATATCATACTGTTGCTCCATTAATCACCGCATCAAAACTGCATACGTCCTCCGAACACACACATATAGTAAATGTAGCTTTATACATACAAAATGTTTTACAAAATTATATGTATAATTGATATATCTATATATGTATATAAATTGGCCCTTCACAACATGAACAAACATACAAAACATACATACATACATACATACATACTATTCATTTTGTATGATTATTTTGTGTTATCTCGCTTACTTAATTAGACACTGTACTCTTCTCTGGGGAAGTGATGATCAAGTGCATTAACAGAACAATTCAGAGTACAAGAGTTTAAAAAACAAAACAAACAAACAAACACTGGTATGTCCACAAGTAGTGGGGAAAAAAAAATCTAATAATCAAAACTAAATTATGAACAGCAAAAAGGTGCAAGGTAGCACATTAGCATCCACTTTACATAATGCCTGAAGTCTTTTAATCCATGAAAATCATATGGGTTCAACTTGGTCCAATTATACATGTCTAAAAACGTAAGATGCATTTTTTTAGGATACGTTCACATTACCAGCTTAAAGCGGCACAAATCTGATCTTTTCAAATCAGATTTGAACCACTTTCGTTTGTGGTTCTACACCGGATACATACATGGTTTGTGGCCAAGTGATTTTAATGAGATGGGAAAGTCAGACCGAAAAACGGAATGGAACGTATGAATCCCATGTTCATATTGTGGCAGCAGCCGCAGCCTAAGTTTCTACTAGTAAACACTGCAGAAGCTTTAAATCTCCCCTAATCATAAACAGCTGAGAGCTGCTGAGAGCTGATCTGAGCTAATAAGCTTTGCCATGAATGCTTTTACTGCTAGTTCATTTGCTGCTGTTCTTTATGACGTACATGGATCACATGATGCTGCTGATTAGCATGCGGGTCATTTCAGGGCACTGGTTCATTCACACTAAAGATATGGGTCACTTCCACACACAAAGGTGAACCACAAAGATAATGTGAACGTTGCCTTATTTCTCCAAAAGACGGAAAACGTCTGGCTTAGCCTTCACAAAACAATTGTAGTAGAAGTGTTTGATCTGTGTGTACGTGTTAAAGATGTGTGCATCTTTACTGGTCAAGCTGTCTAATAACCAAGAGGGAGGGGGGGCGAAGCAACAAAAAAAGAGGCTTCCTTGCACAAGCCATGATGCTGCGAGACATTTTCAGTATGTACTAAAAACATACAGGACATAAACAGTAGATAACTCCTATCTCTAGCATATAAACCCACTCATGCTTTCAGACAACTCTGGGACAAACTACTGTCACACTACCACAAACAGCATAGCATATGAACATCCTTCTGTTCTTTCTGATTGTTTAAAAGAAAAAAAATCAAATCAAAATGTTCTACTCTTCTGTTATATACAACCATAGGTAGTACCAACCTAGAAACCAATCAGCATTTTCAAGACTGAACAAAATGCTCATTGGTGTTGAGGAAATACTGCCACCTTGTGGTGACATATGACAACACATTAAAGGTGAGGTTCACTGAACAACACTTTGGATTTGTTTGGTATGACCCTTTTTGTTGTCTTTCCCAAAGGAGGCTTTCTGCTTCTTTCAGTCAATTTCAATTTGTAAAAGTGTTATTTACTCTAAGTTTGATATTACGGAGCCAATACACATATTACACAGTGTTTTCAGCATTTGACTCATTAAACTGCAAGATCCAGAACGGCCCTTTTGTTGTCTTTCTCATAAGAGACATTTTGCCCCTTTAGGCCAATGTGAATCTGTAAAAATCTATTTACTCTATATGTGAAATAATACTTATATAACACAACCAGTGTTTGGATAATATGACCTACTAAACAGCAAGGACCAGTATGTGGCCCACACGTCAGCTCCTCGTCATCGTATCTACACACCTTACATATTAATTTGATAATAGCGTCCAAACAATTTATAGTAGTTAACAAATAGTAAGTCTTAAGAATAATAACTGCAAATAAACCTGCAGTTTAAGGGGTTAAACAGATTTTGGATTTAATTTGGTCAACAGTGTGTTAAGGACTTGCAATTCATGTACTGAAACTGAACGGCTGAAGCAGCAAGTACGGGACTTAGAAAGGGACTTTTCTACTTTCCATGTTAGTCATTTTCAGTGAACTTCCTCTTTAATCTGTTTTACTCTTGGCCAGAGACTGTTCTCTTGTACTTTTCAAAGCATTCTACTGACGCTAAGACAAGTGACCCATGCTTTTAGACGAGAAACGAGAGAACAGCTTCACTGGGCCTAAAGTACCGCAACACACACGCACACTTCCTGTAAATCACTGGTAAAGCCAGACTGCTATCTGTGCCAGCTGTTTGGTTCAAGTTCTAAAGAAAACCTTCTATGTTAAAACCAAAGGAACATAAGGAACATGAGCATTTAGCTATAATAAGGAATCAGCCATGAACAGCATCATCTGAAGCACCTGGTTTCATGTTAATTTCCACAATCACAGCCTTCTTAAATTCTATCTGACCAGAATTTTAGCATTATTAGCACCACACTATTCCAGATATGAACACATTCAGTCCTCCACTGCCCAAGACTAAGCTACAAATCTGAACTGCAAAATTTAACACAAGTCTAACAAACACTGCTTTATCTGGACCATTATTTAGGGCAACTTTGTAGGGCAGAGTCTAGCCTCCTACGCAGTAAAGTTATCCCAAGGTAAGTGCTCCACAAACCAAAAAGATTTCCCATGTTTAATCAACAGAACACTACAGTGCAGGTTTCATCCAAAATCTGCTTTCAGCACCTCCAGAAAGCGCATATTAGATATACTATTTGTAGAAGTATATAGTTCCACCGTCTCAGCATATTTGCGTATGATGCCTACATCGTTCTTATCAACATGAACACAAGGTATTTCTGCTTTATACCATACTATGCACAAGTCAGAGATCAGCCTTGATTTATGAAACGTTCAGTGAAAAAAGCCATTAAGCACAAGTAATTCATTTTCAGGAGATATTTCTCAGGAGATTAGATATAATATAACCCACTTGTATAAGGAAGGGGAAAGTCAAAGAAAAATAAGTGGAAAAATCAAGTTTCCAAAAAATGATCAAAAGATGTAGAGAAATTTGGACTCCTAACAACAGTGCAAGACCTGGTAGACCACCAGAACTGTCACCCTCAGAAACAAAATCAAGCTCCACTGCTGCTTCAGATCTGTAATTCAAAGACGACAAAGGGTGGTCACACTAAATATGTGTGTTGAAGAATATATATCGATATATGATTCAGTTTAATTTTCTGTTACATATGTTTTCGTTTTTTCCCCTAATGCTGCAAAATTAATAACTTCTGGAAATTAAATAAATTTATAAGCAGTCTCTGGCTTTTGCTCTATACTGTATATGGCAGGAAGTATCCAATCACAAGCAACATTCCGTACCTTACTCCAAAGTGGAAAAGAAAGAAAATGTGTTTTGTAGCACTTGAAGAAAAACTTTTTTTTTTTTGGCAGGAAACGGTCATAATGTAAAGCCGGTCAATCGCTAAAAGAGTGTTTATTGAAGAATGAGTTGCTTTAAAGCTGCTTTTTTATGTTACTGCTTGCAAAACATGCAGAAAATCAAACAAAAATTTAATAATGTTACTACTGACGGAAACGCTGCCAGCAGATGGAAACCCTGTGTTCACAAATTTAGACCACAAAACTACGGATCTTACAAGCTGGGTTTTCATTTTTGTCTTTCAAGTTGTAACTGAAATGTAGAGGAACAACAGATGTGACCTGTTGTCTGGCTTATGCTGTGTTCAGATGCTCAACTAAAAATGAATTTCTGACCACCTAATTGTAATAACCAACTGCTTGTGTATAAGTGATTATAAGCAACTGTTAAGCTTATTTTACAATACGTATATCTGGGGAGATGAAGCACCAGTACTGGCTGGTTATACGTCACAATTCTCTCTTAACACAACAGTTGCCTGAGTTTACTGCAATGATGATAAACTTGTCTGACTTGCAGGCCAGCGCAGTTCGATCGCCATGTTTCGGACAGTGCATGCTGGTTAGACAGAGCCAGGAGCTGCAGCTTCATGTGCTAGGAAAGCTGAAAGACGGCTTTGATGATGACAGGTCCTAGTCCTCATTAGCTAGAAGCTCCACCAATAACCAGGTAGACACAAACTATAGTACAGCAAGTAGTCTCTTAAAAATCTGTAGCATTTCCAATTACTTTCACATGTAAAATTCAAAGTACATTCTTCACCCAAAATTACATCTGACCCTGACAGCTGGCTTTAATTCCTGCTGACCACCAAAGTTAGAGGCAGTTTACATCAAACTGGACTTTAAAACGTTCACGAGGACCAACTGAACGCACAAGGACAGGAGCCGCTCCTCTACCTCATATAGACCTCTGTTTAGTTTAGAGCAGCAGGCTGTGTGAAAAAGTTTGGATTCCTTCTCCCACATGTAGGAGGATTTGGGAGAGTGCAGCGGATTTGAAAGGAAGCTGTGGTTTTCCAGAGGGTTAAACAATAATAATAATAAACGCTGGATGAACTCAAACATGGTGCAAGCACAGGAAGGCCAGAGGAAGAAGCAGAGACGCCAAGAAGTGGCGCGATGAAATGCAAGAAGAATCTACATAAGAAAAATAAAAATCAGGTTTCAACTCTGATGTCACTAATTAAGTGCACAGTATTGCGACTCTTATTCAGTGAATGATTCCTATATCAGTACACGGTTGTTGGCATACCTGAAAAGCACTGAATGCACCCTGCATTCATGTTTTTAGAAAGGGGTTTTTGTAATTTGCTTTTGGGCCTTTTACTTCATATACATGCAATTTGGGAGCGAACACATATGTATTCAGGAGATCCTGCTGGTGTGGGTTCATGTCAGTGTTCTCAATCTCAGTAATGCACTCAAAAGCTAACTGAGTGCTAATAGCTCCCCCCTTGTGGAGATTTTTCACCCTGCTAAACATGTGTGAGGGGGTTACAAGCCAGGTCCATCAGATCTTTGCATCTTAAAACAGAGAAAGAAGAAACGATGAAGGAATGATTTGGATGAAAATGAAGGAATGATTTGGATGCAAAGAATTAAGAGCCTAACCAGCAAAACAGAAGAAACAGCTTTAAATGAAAATGAAAGAATGGTGATCCTAAGCGGTATGGAAATGCTTCAGTGTATCATGATACATTGATTTAATGGTGATTCAACTGCACTGATTTTGGAATCTTACAATTACCATAATATATTCAATAATGTATGTGCTTATTGTTGGGCTACTCTCAAAACAAACAAAACAACCCTTTGCTGTAGAAATAGCTCTTCCAGTCATGTAAGTGTGTTCAGTAAAAAATTAATTCTGAATTGTACCAAAATAATCAAACTGTGGTAAAATTCAAAGTATTCCAGATAATGTGAACAAACACTCCTCCACTGCCCATGCCTAAGCTACAAACCTGTATAATGTAACAACTCTAACTAATATATTGTAACTTGACGTGGACCATTATTCAGGGCAAAGTTTTGGGCCAAAAACAAATTTATCATTTCATGACGCACTGAACTGCTCTCTAAATAACTGTAATTGAATGGAATTGTTATGAGGTCAGAGATTGACATCCCTGCTTGTTGCTCTTCTTGGGCTCTCAGGTTTCTGTATGTGTGTGTGCTTTTCCTCTCATCTTTTCTGTTGCAAGCCAGTCTCAGGTACAGTTAGTCGGATTTGTCTCCGTCATCGTCGCGGTGGTTGTCGTTTGCAGCCTCGCGGGCACTCTTCTCCTCTTTGGCCAGGTGAGCCTGCGAGGCGAGGAGGCTGGAGAGCGAGAAGAGGCCTGAAGCAGAGGAGACGGCTGGGAGGGCGGGAGCGGTCAGGCCCAAGGGCAGAGGAGCCATGGGCAGGGCGAGACCCTGCAGCTGAGAAAGCTGGTGGGCCTGGAGCTGCTGCTGTGCATAACAGACAAACACACACAGGTTAGAGATGGAGCACATGCGCACACAGGGGTCCACAAAGGGTTTAGAATAAGGGTGGGCAATATGGAAAAAATATAACATCATAACACTTGAAAATATTTTCACACATGCATGATACGCATCACAACTTTATTTTTCTGAGATTTGTGAACAAACAAAATGCACCAGCAAAACAGTAGATCCACATTTAAAAAAGGCTATAAAAATAGAATACTACTTATTACTATGCAATTCATGCAGTTACTGTACATTATTTACTCTTTGAAATTGGCTTAAATTGTTCTTTTATTATGATTTATGCATAAATAACTAAGCAAGCAAGTAAATAAATAAATAAAATAAATAAATAATAAACAAAATCAGAAATATTAAAATGTGTCCAGGATTCTATCGGTATAACATTGAGAATGTTATAATAAAATTAATATCATGAATGTCTTGTTTTTCCAAAAGTGATATGGCATCTAGCTTCTAATCTTAAAATCTACATATATATATATATATATATAGTCTGTATTGTGGAAAAGTCAGGCAGCACCCTTTCATTTAATTAATTTTCAGTCAAAACGGACACCAAGTACAAGCAGTGTCAGGAAAAAAGCGAAAGCATATTTAACAGAAAATTACACAGAAGCCTAAAAAAATAAATATAATATCGATTTTTTAGTATTCAGTGCATTTATGTTTTGCCTTTCTGACAGCTTTCATTCTTTTAGGGACACTTGCTTTCAGTTTTTCAAAGAAATTTGCAGGGGTACATTTTCCACACCTCCCAAGTTCAGTCTGGTTCAAGTTAGTTGCTTCTTGTGATTCAGGTAATCTTAATTAATACTTACTCAAGAATACTTATACTTGTAGGTAATGGCTGTTTTGACTGGCAATTAAACAAAAAGGCAGTTTGTGACTTTTGCACAACATTGTAAAATAACAAGAAGTATCAGCATCATAAAAGTTCTGAAGGGTAGTGTACAAGGGAGCCCACAAACACTTTACAAACAGAGCACATACACAGTCACACATGCAAACACACATGTGCATACACATAGTGTGAAGATACACATATGCAAACAAGAGATGGACAGAGAAAAAGCAACCAGAGAATAAAGATAGAAGAGACAACAAATAAACATCTCCAACACACCCCCACACAAGTGTTCCGCTGAGTAAAGCAGGCAGCTTACCCGAATGATTGAGTTCATCTCTGGTGGAGTGACCTGCTTGGCTCTCTCAATCGCTCCCAGGACCTGCTGCTGATGCTACACACAGGCATGCGTGCACACACACAGACACACACACACACACAAAATGATTGTACAATGCTGAAAGTAAAGTTGAAACCCGAAAATGCATTTACTCTACGAGATCCCCCTAGTGACAGTGAATAGAACAGAACATAAAAGAACAAGTGCAGTTCAGTAAAAGTTTTGGTTTTGGTAGACTGTCATCTTAAATTTGGCCAAAAAACTGTAATTAATCTAATAATTAATAAAATGCAAATGCACCACAAACTTTACCATCTGAGGCCGCTAAGCTTAGCCTGATACCTTCTTCTCTTAAGTAACATAATGGTGGCTTTTTGTACAGGCGTGATATCTGCCTGCAGCACGAGCACATTTAACCAGCGCAGTTCAACAGTCTTTAGAAGTATATTATCTACAGCTGCTTTTCCACTGCATGGTGTGGCTCGGACTGACTTGACACTACTCTCTTTGGGACCAGCTACTTAGTTTTCCACTGCAGATATTAGGGGTGGGAATCTCTAGGCACCTCACAATTCGATTCGATTACGATTCAGAGGGCTGCGATGCGATTATAAAACGATTATCGATGCATCTCGATGCATCTTTTTTTTCTATATAGCATTTCTATTTCCTCACTGTGTGAACTCAAGTTTCGAGTTCAAGTTTCAAGTTTATTTGTCATTTGCACAACATGTCAGGACATTTATGCATTGAAATGCTTGTGGTGAGGCTCAGCTAATCACTCTACAGAAAGTGAAATAAGTAAAAATACAAGAAAAACCAACTGAAATATATTAAATATACACAAAATATACACAGAATATAGAGACAGTATACATTTTAAAGTGACTAAGTGACTCGTGTTATTGTTATTTAAAGTGACTTGGTACTTTTAAAGCAAAGTATTTGTAATGATCCATAATGAATTTACTTCCAATATCTTTTTTAATAAAACAAATGGAAGTGATGTGGCAAGTGAACTAGACGGCTCTCATTCGAGACGCTGCTGCCATTCATCTGCGATAAAATGCGCAGTTACGGTGAAATAAGATCCAGTGTCAGTGGATGTCCACGCAGCACACGTTACAGCTATTCTACCTGTTTTGTTTAGTGATTTTATAACTTCGGTTTTGGTCTCGTTGTAGAGAGTTGGGGGATCACTGTGTCAGTAAAGTATCTTTGAGATGGGTCGTGTACAACCTGTTTTGCAACGACTGAGCACCGGCGTGCGGACTGCAGGTCACATAGCAGCGATGCGTTATTCACATTTATAAGCAGCGCAGTTGGTTTCCTGGTACGTTAAACCTGCAACGAGAGCCTGTCACACACTAAACAGTGGCGAAGCTGAAGTCGCTTCTCTTTCGAATTTTCCCGTTCCACCTTAAACTTCAGCCTCGCAAAACAGTCGAACGTTGAGAGACATTTAACTGATCTACTTCTGAGGAAAAGTTTTCTGGCGGAGATGGGAGGAAAGCAGCTATAGCTGAGCTAAAGCTTAAAACAGAGCGAAGTAAATCTGCATTTTCCTTTATATTGTTTAGTCTATACTAGGATATTAGCACATACTGAGACATACTGGACATTAAATGTTGCGACTCCCAAGGTGGTTTGATTTTTGTTGAAAGGACAAAATGGCTCTTCTTATCATTTGTGTTGTGACTCCTGATCTAACCTGGCTTTAATGCAGAGGGAGCCGGTCGGATCTCTCGCTCATCCAGTAGTGTTTTTATTATGTGCCGCCACAGACTGTCCGAGCGCTGCACTTCCGCACTTCCAAGTTCCGCCTTTTGCGTTCCGTCAACTTTACGTTACAAATTAAATATTTAGAAAATCGATTTTTGACATTTGTGAATCGATTCAGAATCGTTCACGTCCGCATCGCGATGCATCTAAGTATTGATTTTTTCCCGTACCCCTAGCAGATATAATACCCCATTAATGTTGCTGTTCATCATAGCGACACCGCATGAAACTGCAGAGATGCAAAGGTAACAAATTTTGTTCAGAAGCGACTGATATCAGCAAGACAAAAGACTGCTGGAAAGAAAAAACAGGAGAATTTGGGAAACACCATATCGGAGTTCAAATGACCAGACGGTTCTGGTTGCTCAAAGGCGACGCAAAAGGGTACGCTAACCTGGTCATCTTTTGTTATCGGCTCAGATAATGCCATGAAAAGTTTTACAAATCAGATTTGAGAAGAAGACAAATCAACACTAAAAACCCTGCCTCCTGTAACTGCATATTTAGCTGACATTCATAACTGGAACTGTTATTTATGTGATTGTTTTTGGTGTAGCAGTTGTGGAATTCATATTTGTAATGCAGATAAACATATAAAAAAGTAAAGAAATAAGATGTTAATCCTCTGTGTATCAATAATATTTTTTCTCCCAGATACTTCACTTCTGGTTGCGCCTGCACTGTGTGAATATGTTTCCACATCACTAATGCATGTGTTGCAGTGGTAACAGTGAAGAGGTCTATTGGCTGGTGGAGTTTATACCTCTTGGGACAAGTAGGGCAGCACCTGAGCGCAGATTGCGTTCAGCCTCTTCACTATCTCAGCCTGAGGAAAGAATATAATTCTGTTAACACACAAAACACAAACACACACACACACACACACACACACACACACACACACACACACACTCACACTCACACTCAAGACAAATGGTATTTGTAGGCATATTAGGGAGCTACCAATATTGAATTATGAACAATACAGATGCCCATTTTAGGGGGTTCAAAAATTCAAATAATTAAGAATATTGGCCAACATAATTTTATACTTTAATTTTATGCTCCAATAGTTTTAAACCATGCTTCCCTGGCATATGATTATCGGTTGTCCACTGGGAATTGTGAAATATGACTGTCAGTTCTTAATGGTCTATGACATACAGATGTGACAAATTAATGAAAAAACCCCACATAAGGGGCCAGATTAACAAAACTTTGCGATAACAGCAGTCATTAGCATGCCTTTGTCTTTTTAAATGCTTTCGTATTTTGTCCTGGACAAGAATCAATCAAAATCAACACATAAATGAGGTGAACAAAGAAAATCTAACTTCTCAGAAACAGAGGTATGAATTTTGACAGAAGAAATGCTGATGCAAATAATAGTAAATTGTTTGAATGTTAAAAGTATCTTTTCCAATCAAGAAACAAAGTTTCTTTATCAGAAAATGCTGCTGATACTAGAAAAAATGTTATGTATACAAAAAGTTGAACTCTAACATCCTAAAATTAAACTTTTAATTATAGAAATTATATTTTAGCATGTGAGATTTCATTTCTCATAATTATTGTAAAAATTTTTACTAGCATGAATTAAAATTTCAACATGCGGTAATTAAAAAAAAAAATTGCTATAATTCTAATTACAGTTTATTTCCTATTTTTCTTGATATCAGAAATGAAATATTAGATGAGTAAAAGTTCAGTTTTTACTTTTAAGAAATTAATTTTACTAGTCAAAATGTCATTGCCGCATGTATAAATTGAATTCCTTTGTAAAATCCATTGTAAAGTAAAATACAGGATTAAACTGTTATTCTGCTTGCAATAAAATAAACTCAAACAAGTACTCAGAGTCAGAGACCACCCTTCAAAAAGGCCATTATGTACATGTTAAACAGCTGTTTAGGAAAAAAGCAGACAACATACAATTAGGCAGACGCCTCAACAACTAAACATACCAAAATTCTCGGTATTAAGCGAGTCCACTCTTTGCCTTTATTTTGGCTTCCGTTCTTTTCAGGAGACTTGCTTTCAGTTTTTAAAGAAAATCTTGAGGGATATTTTTCCACACCTCCCAAGTTCAGTTGGTTGCATTTTCTGCTTCAGTGATCAGGAGGTCTGGACTCTGGGACAGTCAGTCCATTTTTGTGAAGATCTGCAGCTTCTTTCTTTGATTTGCAAATTCTCCACTTTTTAGTCTGTTTCCTTTTCTCACTAAAGGCTTCTTGACAGCTACACATCCTTTCAGACTCATAGTGTTGAGCTGTTTCTCACAGTGGAAGGATGGACAGAAACACCTGTTGATTTTTTCAGAACTAAAGCAAGAGTGGAGCTTGATTTTCTCCTCTCTCTCAAAGATGAAAGTTTTGTATGCTGTTTATCTGATAGGGACAGTTTTGGTGAGCTACCAAATCCTGCATGGTTATTAGGGAGTCCCATTTTCTCTGTAGCTATTATTATTATTTTTTTTTACTTCAGTGTTGAAAACTGTCTTTTTCCACTTATTTTCCTTTGACTTTCTCCTTCCTTATGCAAGCGGATTAACTTATTTTTAATCTCCTCAGAAACACTCTGAAAAGTGTACTGAACAGCCATTTTGAGTGGAAATGCATTTAAACGAAGGGTGGGCTCTGACCTTTGCACAGTACTGTATACTGCATATATCTATACATAATGCACATACACATTAAGATCCAATGTGTTTATCTTGTGTATTCCTGAAGATAAACGGGGAAAACACACACACACACACGTAAAAGTCACTAAATCTAGGGCAGCTCAGACATATTGAGCATTTACTGCAAACACTGGGAAAAAAGCATCCTGCAAGAACACCCCCTCAGAGCAATTCAAGAGGCTCTGTAGGGGGATGAAAGGAGGAGGAGAAGAGGAGAAAACAGAACAGAAAGCAAAACAAAGAGAAGAAACATACTGTGTTTCATCAAAGCTGAGAACATAACCTCTTACCTGTTTGTGCATTTCAATATTAAGCCCATATGACATTTCGTAGTACTGCAAAGATAATGAACAGAACAGAGGACAGTATTAGGCTTTTATTTAAAATATATATATATATATATATATATATATATATAATAATAAATATATATAATATAATATATATATATATATATATATATATAATAATAATACGAAATAAAAAATAAAAACCTTCACGACACTCAGACGTTTTCATGACCCATGATATCCAAAAATACTTTGTTTCTTTAAGTTCTGAGTGGGGTGTAGGTAGTTGACCTATCCATGCCCCGCCCACAAATGTGTCCCTTCATAGCAAATGCCCAACTGTTATGCTGGACAAACTTTACACAAAAAAATCCCATTCAACCTAACAAGAAATTGTAGCGCATACATCCAAATCTGTAACTTGGGTGTGATTGTAATTTCAAATAACATTAGCATGGCGGTAGATTTGTTGTTGAAATTTCTGCTCCAATTAGCTTGGTAGCCCTGCATTTTAAGCTGTGAACCCGCATCATGCAGAGACTCTAAAGATCACTACAGTTTCTCATTGGGTTCAATGGGCCAACATTAGCCAATATTCCATAAAGCCTGTCCAACCTGGTAACAGTAGCATTTGTGTGTGGAGCATGGACAGGTCAAATGTGTGTACAAATTGATACAGCCAATGTATGTAAACATAAATGCATGAACATTACTTCCAGTAAGCCACTGAGCTGGATACAGTCTGTTTGCTCACTCTGACAATATCAGGATGTAATGATATGGTAATATGAGAACAGCAGGCAATGGCCAGGTCCAAATGAGATTAACAAGGCAAATTGATCAATTAGGACCACACTAAAAACACAAAGCACTCACTAAGCAATTAGATTATTGTGTGTGTGTGTGTGTTTGTGTAGCTAGAGCTTATAGACACTTATGCAGGAGAGGTAGTTTAACCCTTAGAAGCAGCAGTTATCACTAGTGATAAAAGCATAGTATAATTTTATATGAATTATTTCTCACATATATCTCTGAAACAAGCAGAGATATTTTCTTGAAAGTGCAGAATTAAATTTTTTAAATCATTAGCACATTTGTGTTTGTAAGTAGAAGAGACATTTTATGATTTGAACTTTTTACTTTTGCTGTTTTTGTCTCAAATGAATCAGAAAAAAAATCATAAGTGCAAACTTGAACCTATCGATACAGAAGTTAAACTGAATGTAAATGTAATTAACTGCATAGCTATGTAATTAATCATTTACTTATGCCATTACACCTGCAGTAAATCGCTGCTGTTGGAACAAAACCTCGTATCTTCATTTTTTGTCATTTTTCAGTTTTTGGCATAGTTTGAAAATGCCTGTTGCTCTTTACATTGTGCATAATTTTTATGATGAATGGACCAAATAAAATGGCCTAAAATTATTTGAAAATAAGTCTGGTTCCACTGACATACATTAAAAGTGTATTTTTCCCTTTTCCTGTGAAGCTGTCATTTTGGAGATAAAAGGTTTTGTTCTGACAGCAGCAAAATGTGAAATGCAAAATGACCATAACTCTGAACATCTAATGCTGCATTTCCATGACTGTAGACAGATGTCTGCAAACTGGATGTTCCGTGTCTTTCAACTTTTGCCCTTAGCCAGAGTGGTGGAACACACCAGATGTTGATTCTTTCAGAAATACTGGCATGGAACGCTTTCAGGTTAAGCTCTGGTGTGTGTGTTTATGTAGAACATTAAAACCCCAAATCCAACAAAAATACATCACCAGAAACATTAGCAGGCGTTCAAAACACTTGCTAGTATAAATTATTGGCCAGTACTGTCACCCTACACATAAGCAGGTATGCCACAGCTGGTCCAGTAACGCTATTACCATGGCAATATTTACAAGGCTGCAAACATTTTTCATTCCCCAACAGCAGCATTTACACAGAGCATAAAGGTGAATATGGGTTTGAAATGGTTTAATTGTAGCTTTGCTTTTGCTTAAAACCTATGCAACCTGGAAACAACATACACTCTCATATCTTCAGATAATGCAGTGAAATGGCAGAAAGGAGAATTACAATCTATTCATCTAAAGCAATTTAAACTCTAAGAATACAAGTTATTGTAATTTTTCTATCCATTCTATTTATATTACATTACTATTTATCTGCAGTGGATAATTACACAAATAATCACAGTTAGTGAATGATGTTTACATTCTGTATCGGCAGGTTGAAGTCTGCACTTCAGACTTTTTTCAGGTTTGTTTCAATGTCAAGAAATGACAAAAACATGATGAAAATGTAAAGGATTGTTATGATAAAAAATTCTCTTATGCTTACAAACAGACATGTTATGGATTAAAAGCCTGAAATAAGCTTTTTGGTTTCATTATCAGAACTTCTGTGGTTGTTTCATGGAGTGAGAAATAATAATAATAAAAAAAAAATGTAGGAAAAGGCTTCTGAAGGCTTGGGGTAGATGGGAGGCTTTAAATGTTTAACACTATGCATGACCATGTCCATAAACGCGAGTGGGTAAATGTAAAGCGCACATAAGCCATTCAAACAAAGAGAATGAGGACCGCACCTTCTGCTGAGGCTATAAGCAGAGTGCTTTAGCGTAAGGCCAAAATGGTGATGAATTTAAAACCAGAAAAGGCCTCTTATATTCCCCCCAGACAAAGCCGTTATGTTGATACACTGCTGTAACAATACTCACTTCTATTGACCGCTCACAGGCCGATCAATAAGCCTGCACACTCTTTTGACTTCACTTTTAAAACTAAATCAATACAAGATTTCAGTATGGAGAGAAGGAAATGCAAAGACGAAGAGAGTGATGCAGAAACAGCATGGAGGGAACGCAAAGTGGGACATGCACCATCATACTGATACCACACTAAAATTAACACACACACACACACACACACACACACACACACACACGAGAGAGAGAGAGAGAGAGAGAGAGAGAGAGAGAGAGAGAGAGAGAAAATAAAAGAAGAGAAAAGCAGAAAAAAGGGAAGAAAGAGAGAACGAAGAAGGATGAATGGAAAGAAGAGAACAAAGGAGAAGAGATTAAATAAATGAATATCACAAGAACAGAAAAAGACAAGAGAAGGGAAAGATAAACGTAATAAGAAAAAAAGAGAAGGACAGAAAAAAAGAAAAAGAAGGAAGACAAAAAGAAAGAAGAGTATGACGAAGAAACGAGCAAGACGAGAAAAGGAAGACTAAAAAAGACAACAGAGGAGAAGATGAGGACAAAGAAAGAGAAATGAAAGAGTGAAGAGAAAGACAAAAATGAGAGATGAAAAGACAGAGGAGAAAGAGGACAGAAAGAGAAGGGAGGAAAAGAGTTGAAAGGAAAGACTGAAGAGAAAAGAAAAGTAGACAGGAAGAGAAGAAAAAAACAGGAAAAGAAAGATAAAATGAAATAGAAAAGAAAGACAAACAGAGAGAGAAGAGAGGTGAAAACTAGGACAAAAAGAAAGAGAGACAAAAGGAAAGATGGACTCAGTATTCAGTAAGTTATGTGGTGGGAACCTGAAGGTAGATGTGTGCCTCTTATACACACACGGGCGCGCAACCAGGGCTAAATCTTTCTGAACCAGTGCCAGTAACAGTGAGTAATGCCCAGGACTGACTGACTGGGCAATCCTAGTTGTGCCCTTGTGGTTGTGCCCTTCGGCAAAGTACTTAACCCCCCACTGGCCCAGGTGACACTGCTCTGCTGATGATGCTGTGCTGCTCCCAGCTGGGCATAGTTAGGCAGTGAAATGACAAATTTCCCTTGTAGGATCAGTAAAGTATAACATAATGCTGACACTTAAGCAGAAAAATGGATTTTGCTTCCTTGCTATGAGAAACAGCAGGCAGTTTCAACAACAGCAATGTAGTGACTGTAAGACAGTACGCTGTATTAGAGATGTGCTACTAATATCATGCATCTGTAGTTGAACATGCTTAGCAGTGCACACATAAATGAACATAAGTACAAAACACACACATGGGGTCATGATCGATTCAGATTATTAATGTGTGGTCACAATCAGACTTGGGTCAGTTTCCACAGACTGTAACTTTGATGCGTGTCCCTGTACTCAGAAAACTCACTGAGCTGATGCACTTTTATAATAGAGGTCAATGGGCAGTTGCTGAATTCATGAATTTCTGTACAATGCTAATTATTCCGTCACAGGTATTTATGTTGCAAATCTCTATAATTTGTTCTCTCACATATGGGACTAGTTTTCTTTGTGACTTTGTGGTAATACATTACCAGAGTCGAGGTGTGGGTTATTTCACAGGTTTCTGTTAGATTGCTCACAGACACCAGAAAATCTTGGGAAAAGCAAATGTAACAGGAAATACTTTTTGCTGTGTTGATCCAATGTTCAAAAATTGGATAAAACTTCATAAGAACAGCCTTGGTATGACATTCTCCCATGTCTGTCTCATCATAAGACCTCTACAGTTAAGAGTGTGGTTTCCATTTAGCATTATATAAATCACGTATTTCAAACGTTTATTCATGGAATTCAGCAACTGTCCATTGGCTTCTATTATACCAATAGTGTTTATTGTGTCTTTTCTGTTCTTTGCGTAATTATTGTCCATGGTAATCGATGGTATGATTTAGCGGAGACAGAGATAAGGTTGAATACTGCTATTCCTTTAAGGCTTTGAAAAGAAAGGGCGGAACAGTTCCAGTGGAAAATGTGCTTTAAAAATTTACTGCACAGTGGCAACATCTCATGGTGTTAATGAGAATTACGATGATTTTCAAAAAAAACAAAACAAAACAAAAAACAGTATAATTCAGTAGCTGAGATATAAACAAAGCCATTCAGCTGTGGTTTGATGTGAAATAGTTCACTGAAGAGGAACTTACTGACTTTCTTTACAGAGGTGGTGATTAGAACAAGGGCTCACAACGTCTACAATGTAAATACAGCCATTTTATTTACTATTTACATACATACATACATACATACATACATACATACACACACACACACACACACACACACACACACACACGTGTCTGAGTTTTTATATGTGATGCTGATAATGGAAAACTAGCTGATAATAGAAAAAAATAAATCTAAAAAAAAAATTAAATTTCTTTGGGTACCATTTTGCCCTGCATGCACCTCTCGACCACGAATGGATTAAAATAAATAGTTCAAAATAAATTTTAGGCCAAAACGTTATTGCAAAACCATTGCACAACAACGTCTCAGACATCAGGCAGCATTATTCATGACTTTTCTGTGTAAGCGTTTACAATCATTTTACTCCTGAGATGTCTGGTTCCTATTAACACCACTGAGAATAATTCTGATTTCATAAGTTTCTCTAGAATGGAACACTTCACATCAAACCACTCCGTGTGACTTTGTTTACATCTTAACGGTTTAAAAATTAAGAAAATCAAAAAAATCTGAACAATATACAAAAATAAGTCTATAGATAAAAAAATATAGAAAATCAGTCCTTCTAATAGTGCTAAATCTAGCATCTTGGTCTAATAACTCATCCATCTACAAACTGGGTAATTCCTGCGTGCTAGCACGGGGGCTGCAGCGTAATCAGTTAGACTGCTGGTGGCTGATGAGTCTCCAGTTCCTGTTGAACTCTTTGGGTGCAATCTGCTGTTCATTCATAAAGGTATCACTCACCATGATGTAGTGCCGCTGCATCTCCGATTTCTCCGTGGCCAGCTTATCACACTCCAGCTTCAGACTGGGCCAAGAAAGGGCAGGAACACACACGTACACACGTACACACAGCACACAAGAACAAACACAGGCACACACACAAAAAGGAGAAGACAGCTTTACACGATTGCCTGCCAAGTCAGCACAAACAGTAATACAGAGAAAGTAAGTGAAAACTAGAGCTGCTCTAAAAAGCAATTCAAAGGCTTTTTTACTTGTTGGTATTTCCGACCATGTACTTGAATGCTTGTTGGTTTTTATAGTGGACTGGGGTTTCTAATTGTAGTTTACAACCAAAAAAAACTGAGTGGGGACAAACAATACAAACAATACAATACTATACAAAACAAACAATAAAAAAACCACAAAAAAAACAAAAAAGAAAGATTGAAACAGGTCTATAATGAAGTGTCAAAGTCTAAGACTTTACAAGTGATTTTCATGATAAAAACACTCTCGTGCCAGTCATCCCAGACGTGTTCAAACAGTTTGACTGGCAGCAGATCAACCATGAAAAAAAAAACAGCCGTAAGGAACTATTTCAGGATTTCTATGAGGGACATTAGATGAGTGATTTATAGACTCTGTTCATGCGGAGCAGAGATACAACATCCAAGTTCTCTGTTCATGCTGAACAGCAAATGCAACATCCAAGAAGTTCTCCACTCCAGGTTTGGTACCACTTGAAAGCACAACAACTCGGTCAATATGCAGAAATATACAGCAAGAGAACAGAAACAGAATGGAAAATCCCGCAAGCACGTCAACACCATCTGTAGCACCAGTTTATGAAATAATGGCTAAAGGACAGTGCCAAAGTGCAAAGTATAAGAAAAAAAACTGTCTTGGACAACTAACTATTCTCTGTTTTCAAGGATGTTTTTCATGGCACGCACTGTAGCCTACATACTGAAATAATTTTAACAAGTTTAATTTATGAAAACTGTTTTTTTATTTACTGTCAGCTTTCCAAGTTCCCAGTATTTGGCTGGAAATTGTTTTTTTATTTTTAACATTTTTGATACAATAACAATAAATGTATGTTGATGAAATGTGTTGTAATTTGAGCTACAATTTTTGTGGCTTAAGTACAAAACAAAGTTACTGACAAATCAAAAACCAACATACCGAACAAATACTTGAGAATTCTGAACTATTGGGGCCAGCACTGGTGAAAACTTAAACTAAGGCTGTTTTCACACCTCGTTTGCTGAACCAGAGTTCGGGTTTTTGTGGTATTGTATCCTTTTCATGCGGTTCTGTTGGTTTCACACTGCAACGACTAGAGTGCACCAAATTACACACGTGAGCACTTGTTTATTGATCTGAAATTTTGAAATTATAAAAGTGCTCTTGAAAACAGAGATGCTTAACGTCTATATGTATCACAGTCAAAGCAATAATAATAAACCTTACTTGATATCTGCTTGTTTATGACTCGTTTGACTGCTTGTTTATGACTCGTCAATTTGAACGTAACCAAGCAGACCACTTCTATTATCATTATTTTTACTGTTATTGTTATTTTTTTTGTTTTTCAGTTATGAGCAGCAGCTCTGCTTGTAAGACAGTCTGTCGGGTGTTAGACATTAAAACAGGCAGATTATGTGGACAGCACTGCGCTGACATGCTGATAAACTAAAAGAAAGAGCGTGCTCTGATGTTGACTTCTCTCACCACAAAAATGCGTTCCTATCAACAGCGAACTGAACCAGTGTCTACTTGGAGGCGAACCGAAACGTGGGATTTTTGCCGGACCATAGTTCATTTGTTTCAGTGCACAGCCAAGGAAGGGGTGGAGCGTTCACACTTGTCACAGTGAACCAAATGAAAGAAAACGTTCGATAGGTCCATACCAAACAAGGTAGGTGTGAAAGCACCCTAAGTGAAAATGTGTGTGTGTGTGTGTGTGTGTGTGTGTGAGTGAAACAATCTTTGCCAGTGTGTATACATATCAGCTAAAATATTTACATTCCAGCCTGAAGTGTTTGGGAAGAGGTGGCGTTTCCCCAACCCCCCACCCCCTCTCTCTCTCTCACACACACACACACACACACATTTTTCTCAAGTCTGTCATTTCCACTTCACCTAATCCTTCTTCCCAAAGGGGAAAAAAGAACTCTACAACATTTCTTTCACCATGACAACCTGGCTTCACTGGCACTGCCGTGTGATTGGCTGGTAGTGAACTGTGCTGAACACGATTGGTAGAGCAGAAGAATACAGACGCTTGCTCAAATGCTTTACCACTTCAATCTGCCCATTGCTCTCCCTGCAGAATTACAGATCGTGTCAGAGATCAGCACATCATTCAGCTCATCCTTTCTTCCATCCATCCATCCATCCGTCTTCACCTCTGGCCTTTTTTTCATCGTTTCGCCTGTATGCCAGGGCTGGGTGGTGTCCTGCCCAAACAGGGCCTCGCAAACCTTTCATCTGTTTATTTCTCTCAGGTCATTCAGCGCACAGGAAGGAAGGAAGGATGGTGGGATGGAAAAGGAAGCTGTTTTTTTTTGTCTAAGATGACCCACATTCTCTGCACTGTCCACAGAGCACTGGTAAAGACTGACAGACACACACATACACGCAGCTTGCTTTTTTATATTGTCAGGACATGGCATCATATGTATGTATATGTGCATACACACAAACTGGTAATTTTTATTCAGTACACCTCCCTGTATCTAAACAAATTGGTCCACTTTTTCATCTCCACTGATGATATAGGTGCATTTGTAGTCCATCTGTTTCTCTGCATACTTTGTTAGCTCCTTTTACCCTGTTCTTTGATGGTCAGTACCCCCACAGGACCACCATGGAGCAGGTATTATTTGGGTGATGAATCATTCTCAGCACTGCAGTGACGCGATGGTGTGTTAGTGTGTCTTGAGCTGGTACACATGGATCAGACACAGCAGTGCTGCATGAATCCAATTAGACATGACCTATTATTCTTTCTTTGTAATGAAACGTAATTGGTGGTCAGTGTTCTTTAAGTATGGATGATATCTACGGTATGTCCAAAAAAGTGCATCATAACAAATCTGATCACGACAACTATAAAATACTGTCATATTGCCCACATCCATCTAACCCTGAACTTAACCTTAATCTCATCTCACTAAGCAAAAACAGTTTGAAAAAAAGAAACATGGTGCTTTTGTTAATATAAAAAAACTCTTTACAAAACCAGGAGTATTGTTTTGGTCCTGAAAACATACAAAAACAAACACACACACACACACACACACACACACACACACACACACACACACACATTGTTTGTACCGTGTAGTGTACCTGTGATATTGTGCTTGGAGGAACTGGAACTCGTCTTTGATGCGGTCGCAGGAGTCGGAGGTGGTGAATTTCAGTGGTTGTGTTGACTGAGACGCAGCCTGGAAAAGATTAAAAACAGAGTTTAACTCTCTGAAATGCCTCTTCTCACATTTAAGTGTTTCTCACTCGTAGCTCATTGAGAAACACTGAAATTCTGCTGAAAGTGAAGAGACTAAGATTTCAATCGATTCCACATTTGTGTTTGTATAAGAGGAGATATTTTATTAAGCTTTGAATTTGCTAAAAAGTTACTGTTGTGTGCACACAGTCTTATTTTTGAGGAAAGAAAAAACTCTTTACATTTTTGAAGATTTTTTAACAGCAAAACAAAAGGAAAAGTCAGAATCAAACGTGTTACAGAATGTAAATGTAATAAAATGAATGAATGTAATAAAAAAGTAATTAACTTCATGGCAATTAAGCAAGCAATTGCATAATTACACAGAATGTAATGTAAACTATATAATGTAAACCGACGGTGTAGCAAAACAATAAAGCTGGACTACTAAAGGACGAGACATTCTGGATGAAGGCTAGTACATCGAAGCACAGTGAAATTAAAGAAAAAAGATCAACCATATATTTAAAAACATACGTACTATTATTACAACAATGAATGCCAACTCGTAGCCACCAGCATGATGTCATATTAATGCATATCACTGATTGTTGACAATCAGATTACAGACACTCTTAAAATCATTAGCAATTATAAACTATTTCTGTAAACTAACACTGTTTGCCCACTCAGACATTCAATCAAATTACATATATTCCAAAAATATATCTGATCTACATACAGAACCTTTACACTGCCACTCGAATGCTACTGAGGAAATGGTTACAAGCTGCAAATGCAAATCTGTTCAGAATGAGAAGAAGCAATTTAAGCATTGTATTCTAAACATACCCAGTGGGGTTATTATCCACATGATGAATCAAACTGTGTGGCTATAAAGTCACTTGGAAGCAAAAGCTCCCTATTAGTCATACAATACCTCCCCTCACCAAAGTACTGGAAAATAAAAGAATAATCCATGAGATGTGTGATTTGTAAAGTAATTTTACAGGTAAGGGGTGTAGTTAAATATATTGCACAATAAAAATGTCAAAATATATAATGCTAGATATTATACATAATGTGCCATAAATGATTATTAATTATTAATAATAATAATCACAATGAACAATCCATCCACCAAGCAATGCAGTAACAGCAGGCTAAGGCTACCATGTAACATGACCATTCTTTGTTTTTTAATATCCTGGTGCAGGATTCAGTTAATGCATGTAGTCATATGTTGAAGTGGGGACCTACAGACATCTCACGATTCAACTGGATTTTGACTCAGGAGGCCAAGATGCGATTCTAAAACAATTTGCAGTGCATTTTTTCCCCACATACCGTTGAGTGTTGTAAAATTATCTATATAAAGTAATGTAAAACATTAAAATAATTAAATGATTGATTTATGACACCAGTATTGGGCACAATAAGGTGTTAATTATCAGATACATCTCTAGATGTTACTGATAATATGAATTAGTTGTTGTAATTCACCAATCTTTTGCTTCCTATTAGAACCAGATCTTTTTAATAAACTGATTTTTATTTTACAGCTAATAGTAAGCAGGACTATGGTACAGATATATCTGTCAGGCATCACAGTGTTCGTGTGAAAATATGACTGTGTGATGTATTTGCTGCGTGGGCCAAATCTGCAGCCTTATGAAGTGACAGGTCTGAAGTGTGTGTGTGGTAAAGCAGTTATCCCCTGCAGCGTTTCTGTTGTGTGGCCCACCGCTTCTCCTCTGGGGGCCTATTGTTCCTCAACACAACACACACACAGACAATACACACTCTCTCACTGTGCATCTCACTCACTCACACACACGAGAGTAAGCAAAATAAAGGTCTTTCATCGTCAACATCCACCACAGCCTGCAGCAAACAGCTCTAGCACAAAACAAACAGCCAGTATTTCAGTGCTCACTGGGCTACAGCACACACTGGGCAAGGCTAGCTGTGAGGGCTAACACACACACACACACACACACACACACACACACACACACACACACACACACACACACACACATTCAAGGCAGGAGAAATGAGGATTTCTTTTGGCATTAAAGGAATAATCCAGTGCTTTTAACCTAATCTCTACCTGCCATCTCTGTAGCATATGGTCAATTACTGTGGACAGTAATTTCAATGCATTTCCAAACAAACAAAACACTGAAAATATTACTCACTCAAAATTCACTTACAATAAAAGTCAATAGGCAGTTGCTGCCCAAGCATCTAAGCCAGGGGTCTTAAACAAACAGCAGGCAGGCCACATCAGGCCTGCCAGACAACTTTATAGGGTCCGTTACATATTTACAATTTATCCAGCCCATTTAACTTTTGTTTTTATATGGCTAAATATTTACATCTCACGGGTAGATTCGCTTCACCCAACAAAGACTATATAAAGCTTAGGCTGATGTTTACAATGTTAAAAGCAAAAACATGACTGTAATTTAGCAATAAGTAACTAAAAAATTACTCTAATTTAGACCAATAATCAAATCTGCCTTCCTGGATTCAATTATGACATAGCAGCAGACACAGCGTGTCAGAATCAAGAAATGACAGGAATAATGAAATGAATAAAATAAATAAATAAATAAATAAATAAATAAATAAATAGCACTGATGGGGACACCAATACCACAAAACTATTTCTGACACTCAGGCAAAGTACTGACTGATGCATGTAGGTGCATAAGTAGATGGATGTTGATAAGTAGACGGCCATGTGGGTTGACAAGCAGCAGTGAAAATGCTCAAGGCAAAATCTGTGACAGCAGTATTTCTTGGGAAGACAACAGTAGTGAATGATATACCAGCTGGAATTCTTCCTCAGGTATTAGTTAGTGAAAAATATTAAGATGGCGAAAAACAACATTAAAACAAAGAGAAATGGCCACATACACATACAGTTGTTTGGCTATACACAGTGTTCAACTGAGGTCACACTTGTCTGTTAATTAATAAAGAATCCTGACAGATAAAGTATAGCCTTGACGTGTTGTGTGATTCATGAATGTAAAAACAACAGCAACAAAAAACAAAATGCATGCTTTTACAGCATCCTAGCTGTCTGACATCATGAAGGGGAAAGAGGATAAAGTGCTGAGCCAGCGAAGGTGAAATCTTTAAATAACAAGAATGAACAGGAAAAGCTTTCAGCCACCTCCCCAAACCAAAGCCTGCCCTCATCATTCTGTCACAGGTAGACAGTTAGGTAAGGGATGGATTCTGTAGTTTTGATCTTTTTTGAGTGTTGAGAAATGTTCACGATTGACAATTTACATCCACTGATGACTGACTTTTGCAATCTAACTATTTAATGTCTAGATCTCTTGTGCTTTAGCTACACTCTTAAAATAATGGTTCTTCAATGGTTCTTTAGTAAAGAAAATGGTTCTAAACAGAACCATGAACACTCAAAGAACTCTTAGCATGCTTAAAACGTTCTTTGCATCATGAAAGCGTTCTTCAGAACGTGCTGTAGATGGTTCTATATAGAACCTTTTTGAAAAGGTTTCTATATAGCACCAAAAAGGGTTCTTCTATTGCTATGATGTCAAGCTTGTAACAATAGCGGAACACTTTTTGGTGCTATATGGAGCCATCTACAGCACATTCTTAATCAATCTGAAGAACACTTTCATGATGCAAAGAATCCTTTAATCATGCAAAGGGTTTTTGGAGTGTTCATGGTTCTATATAGAACCATTTTCTTTTCTAAAGAACCCTTGAAGAACTTATTTAAGCATGTAGACAAATACAGTTGAGAGAACGCCAGATCGTTAGCAGGCCTCATGGAACGTCAAGTTAACACTGATAAACCCCTCAAACACAGACAGACAGGAGGCTATTATCACTTTTGCAATCACAATGTTTGATGGAGAAGTTGATGATACAAAAGATGGAATATCGCTGATCCACAGACTAAATAACTAGATGATTCCAGTGATTTGTATGCTTTTATCTCCTGCAATGTCAAAGCTAATGCAGTATTTACAAGGAAATTATAAATATCTTTAAATAATTATAATTATAAATATCGCATGCAATAACACAATCAGAAATTAAATATAACTTTTCGATTTGGTACAGATCAACCTCCGATCAAATGGACTGTTTCTTGTTTTGAAAGCCACAGCCAGCATTGACTCATCACAGCCATCTAATGACACATTATGCTAGCGAAGTGTTAACAATATGGCCACAGGGTGCTTATTTTGGGTTTTGTAGATACTATCTGTAGTTTTGGCTATTATATGATATTCAGGTGAAGAAGCTTAGTCACTCATTTAGCCACCACTGAGCTGAGAGCTGAAAATAAACAGAGACAGCAGGACAGCTAATCAGTTTAGTTGGTCCCTATAACTGACATTAATCTGTAGGAATTTAGTATAAAACACTGAAATAACTCACTGAGTCCTCAACCCTGAACGAGATTTATGTTTGTCTATCAAAGTTATTTCACTCATGACGGATTTAACACTAAGTTAGCAGTGCAATATAAACTTAGCTATCCATTCAGCTACACTGACTATGAGATTTCACAAGATTTACGTCTTGAGCTTCCTTCTATATCATCGCTGCTATCTAGGTAAGCAAAAATCCAGTCAGACACATCGGTCTCCTTATCTGATGTAAATGTTAGAACATATCTGTTTCAGGGCCTCTTTGAGATGTCCATCGTAAAAGGGATGCATTATTACTATTATTATCATTGTTTTTAAGGGTGGTACTGAGAACGAGTCTTCAAGTATTTGTTCTGAAACACCTATTACTCAAAGCCTGAACAATGCTGTTCAGCCCAGCCATACCAATTACGCTAAAAAAAATAAAATTAATTGAACAGTCATTTTTAAAAAACAGTAAAAGCGAGCTGTTCTCCCTATTTAACGTGTATGTGTCTCCATTTTGCCAAAGCACCTACAGAGGTTAGTCAGCCCTGAGGGTGGGAGGCAACTGAATGTGTGTGTGAGAGGT